ACTGAAAGCAGTCTAGCAATAGGCTATTGTTCATCTGGGCTGAATAAAGCCATATTGGTTCACTGGGCAGTGAGGGGAGTAAATAGGTATTTTGCAATATCTGCTAAAGCATTACAGCAGTTCTAACTGAATCAGCAGAGGCCAGTCAAAAGCAAACCACCTTATACAGTTGCCTGCTTTGCGTAACGCCTGCACAGAGGGTGCTGTGGCCCCATGGTGTTGAACTTGTTCCTCCTGCTGTCCACCTCCCTGCCTGTCTCTGGCACAGGTTCCTGTGGTGTTTGCAGGTGTGGCCTGCAATAACATGTGCTGTCCCCAGGCGTAGGAGGGCGGGGGACTTTGTGCACCTTCTCCTTGAAATGCCAACCCCATCTCTTGTGGGAACTGCATGTACGCAAGGTATCTGTGGGCATCCCCTTTCGCCTCTTGCTTCCCCGTGATTGTAGCATGCGAATCTGTCTCCCATCAGCATCCCAAAGCATGTTGAAAGATGGAAGCTGTGCGTATCTTGTATCTTATCTCTTTGGGCAACATCTTTTGTATTTTAATGAATATGTCCTTGGTTTGCGCCGTCCTTCATTTCTAGTGCCAGTCTTTGGTCCCACAGATAATTAGGAGAAAATAACCCATGAATCAAATTTTTCACAAGCAAGCAGAAAAACAAACACCCTTTGACACTAAAAAGAGGAAGTCATGGCATTTACAGAGAACAACAACTTAATGAGCTAGGAAAAAAAAACCCAGAAGAATTAGTAGGATGCAAGTGCATGTGTATGTTTACAATTTAAAGAAATGTGGTTTGTGTTCTATGTATTCAGTGGTCTAACACGAGTTAGAGTGTGCCATTGTCTTTTCCTCGGATCAGGAGACAAGAAGGGAGGCTGAGTTCCTCCTTCAGCAGGTGTTTATCTGTGTCCTTAACCCATGCAGTTGTAGGATGATTTTTGTGATGATCTGAGAGATCATACGATGAGATTAGAACTGTTAAGAACAAATATTCAGTTCTTCCATTTGAGAGCCAGGGTTCCAAGAATGGGGGCTCAAGGAATGGAAAGCTGATGAGAATCCAGAATTGGCGAGGGTGTGCTTGTTTAGTTTGGGAACAGCTTTTTAATTGTTTTTCATTATTTGTTTTTAAATTCTTTTTAAAATTAAGGGTAGGTGGAGGTGCTGGTGGTCTTATTTGTGCTTTTGCAGATTTTCAGATTTTTCAAGAGGGAACGGGAGGCAGAATGTTATGCTGGAATTTCCTGGAAATTTCTTGTTTTGTTTTATTAAATGTGCAGACTTTCTGGTTTTATTGACATGCTCATAAGCTGCAAGAGGGAAATTTGTAGTGTTCTTTTATTGGGGGATGGGTGTTACTGAAGTATATAGGAGTTTCTTTACATTGTCAACATTGAGTTGCCTGGAAACTTCTTAAGGTTTGGGGTTTTTTGGCTTTTTTTTGTTTTTTCAAAGCACATAGAGAAGCCATGCAGGGACTCTCCCAGACCATAGAAGTCAAACATAGACTTTGTCAAAGTTAGAAATTTCTTGTTGCAAAAGGTCCAGAAAAATTCTGTGCTGAGATGAGATTGACACAGGCAGCCTAATTTTGTCTGAAAGAATAACGTGAATGAAAATTGTGTTGGTGTAGAAAATCTGTTCTTATTACTAAAAATTGATTTTTACCTTTGTGGAGATACTGATTTCACCTCCTGATAAAAGAAAATTTTGGATGATTGCTCCAGGTCAGGCATACAACACTTGAAAAATTAATCAGTGATCTTGATTTGTTTTGATGTGTTTTTTGTCCTGAGTTTTGTACTTCTGTTTCTTCTAGGTATTTGCTTGTAGTCAGTGTTGCTTGTTGGTTTGAATCCTCACTGCCTTGGCAGTTGAATAGTCTTGCCCACAGGTCTTAGAGTTGTTCTTCACTCATATATAATAGGACTCCAATAATAAAAATGAGACAATAATCATAAATAAGACTCCAATAATAAAAATGCCTTTCCAATTTTGTAATTAGTTGGGTTCGCTTGCTTTTCTCTTGCGTAAGACTTAAATTTCATTCTGATTTTTATTAATTCTTAAGAAAGATTATTGTCAAAAATTACTGCATTTATTTAGACTACTACAGTGCCTTTGGCTCCTGTCATTAGGATGGCTTAGTGAAGAGGCTAACAAGAAAATAGCTCCCATGACTTTGACAACAGAGTCTTTTTAAAAACTGTATTCTCATAAACTAACTCATTTCCAGAGTTGTCCCAGGCATTAGAATGACTCAGCCCCCCAACCCATGTTCAAGGGCCAAGTGAAATGTCTGGCTTATGCTCTGTTGTCCCACACCAGAGAATAGGTCTGCATGGGTTTTTTGGGGCGGAATTTCTTCTTTTGGCATTATATGTTGAGGGCTTGGTAGCAGAATCGCTTTTAATTAGCACATGTGGTAGTTGTTTAAATGTGTGTTTCTAGTGATGCTGGTGAAGAGCCATTAAGCAGATGGGGGGAATTCATGTGGGGGTTCAGATCAGAACTAACTTGCTTAATTGAAAAATTAGGAATCGTTCCCCTGTCGAGTGGGTATGAGTTAAAGACAGTGCTTCAGCGTGCAGATTGCCTTTCCCAGTTTTTTTAGAGTGAAGAGCCAAACGGATTTGCTCTGCCGTCTTTATTTCTTCTGAAACTGTTTGCCAAGTAGTATGTCTCATCCTAAAAATGGGGGTTGGTTTTGTTCCATTATTTGGTTAGTTGTTCTTAAATAAACTCTGGATCTAAAAAAAAGAAATGTGACGTGCCCAATTGTATATACTGGTTTGGTTTGCATCAATATTTGGAAAAGGAAAGAAGAGAGTAACAGAAGTTAGACAAACAGATGCCCAAAGCCATCTGCTCCTCTCCTCACGGTCATTAAATGTTCAGCTTGGAATAGCTCTCCTTTCCTTCAGGACTACATTGGCTGGCTTTAAAGTGAGCACAAAATTAAGTGGAGACATCTTGTAGGTGGTCACAAACTTCCATGAATTTGCAATCTAGTTTACATAAATTCAGTACTTCTCAAAAAGCGTCACAATCGTTAGCCTTGCTGGAAAGCCATTTTGGAGAGATGCAGGGCTGCTATCACAGATTGCAGCAAAGAAACTCAGGATCCTTCAGGGGCAGGATCACAGTTTCCCAGGGCTGGCTTAACCCAGCAGACTGTGTATATCTGTGGTTGGACAGAGCCCAAAGAGACAGTATAAAAATAATACATTATTAATATCTAGAAAACATAAGGCTTAATGAATAGTAATAAGTTGCAGCATTTTTCTTTTCTTAGGAAAATAGGTTGGCTATATTTGTTTTAATTTTCCTTTCACTGAGCATGTTTCTCCTGTTGTTCTTTCTAAGTACTAGAAAGGTACGTAGGTACCTTAGTACTTAGGTGCTGAAATTTAGGATTAATTTTACAGAAACTAAGGAAGTTATACCACTGCCATTCAGGCTGAGAGAGAGGAAGAGTAGGGATGTTTTCTGGAGAGGGCTTTTGCTGATTTTACTAGTGGGTAGGGAGGGTCTGGAACAGCCGAGCGATTGCATAGCTCCTTTCAGCAGCATCTCCCAAGTAATGTAGCAAAGGAGACCCCACTGTGCGCCTGCAGAGACATGGGCATACAGAGGTAAAGTAACTTTCCCAGCATCATCCCTCTGGTTAGCAAAAACCTAAATGTTCAGGGTGTCTCCCAAGTCTCATACCCATGCTGTGCTGGCAGCGTAAGCTGGGGAAAGCCTTTTAAACAAGCATAGGTCACCTGCAATTTAAAAGAAGACTGGGGTGGGATTTCATCACTAGCCAACACCACTCTGACGCTGACAGGGATCCAGCCTTTGAACTCTAGCAGGATCAGCGCTGGGCAGTGCTAAATCCTTTTGAAAGCCCAGCCAACAGGCACATTTGGACATCACCTCCTATTTGAAGTGACGGTTTCTCTGCAGAGAAATCCTGGCCGGATTTTAGCATGGATAAGTCTGCTCCACCTGCTTAAAATCCCTCTGCAGAGTTTCACTGGGTCCCTCCTGTCCCATGGTTCTGCAGTGTCCCCCTTCCAGTTTCATATCACCTGCTCGCAAATTGTTTTCTAGATCATCTGTACCTCCATCTATTAGTTGAGCTGGCTTCCCTGTAATTATTTCAGAGGATCTAAATGCAAAAGCAGTAGGTATGTGCACAGCCCTGGTGCTGTACAGTGCAGTAGCTTCTCTTGGTGTTTATCTGCATCACCCAGCAGATTGTCATCCCTCCATATTCCTTTTTCCAGTGAGGTTTGGGTTTATCCACATTAGTGTGAATTGACCTGTTGCCCCCTGCGAGCACATCCTTGTTGGTAGTGGAGTTAGAGAAAGGCTCTCCGTGGGAAGAAGGGGGAACTGGTGCTGAGCAAAGTGTGGGATCCACTCAGGTCACAGGGTGGATCCTGGGGGAATCAGATCTGTTCTTCACATAGGCACAACAGGCAAGGTAGCACCTTTCCTTCCACAGGTGGCTTGCTAGAGGATTTTATCACAGTGAGTTTACTTTGTGACCTCAAACTTCCACACAAAGTCTGTTCTCCTCCCCATTCATCCCTGCTTTCACTTTATATTTCTTTTTTTTTAACTCCCTCTTGGCATGTCTTTATGTTTTCATTAATGTATCAACAACAGGGCAGCTGTTGTTGCTTTGTCCCTAGTACTGTCTTCTCCATCCAGACCTTGGAATTGGGACATCCTTGAAATCCGTGTCTTTTACGTGACTTTTAGGCAGAATCAGATGCTTCACTTTCCCCCTTGTCTGCAAGTATTTCTCACCAAGCTGTAAAATCAATCTATTCTGGGTACTTTTTCATCTTAAATCTGACTGCTGCTAACACTGTGTTTCTTTCATTAACAGATTAGCTTTACAGGAAACTTGTCGCCGACAGCCTGCCCTGTTGTACCCACCACGTGGCGAGAAAACTCCGAGGAGAAGCTGAGGGTAAACCACCTCTTGGAGACAGTCCATGGGGACTGTACCAGATCCTCTGAGATCTGCTAAGCTTTCCCTGCTCACAGCTTCTGCAGAGGAGGACCACCTGGGAGACCTGCAGTCTGCTAAGCACCAGCCCCAAATACCCAGTGGAGAGAGGGCCAGCAATGGCTTCCCGTGCACGCCGTCCGGCTCTGCTGGAGTTTGCTTGTTCGACCTGAAATGCACGGCGGCTGCCAGCACACAGAAGTGTGAGCAATGCAGCGAGGACGATGCTAGCCAGCAGGAAGCCTTCCCTCCCGGGCTCGCCAGGAAAGCCGTGGAGGGGCATCCCGCAGCCGTAGAGCCTGCTGGTTGCTCCCAGCCAGCGGGCAGCCAGGGACTGGCAGCACCAGCCCCCGCTGCAGCAGGACCCCCCTTGGCGGGGCAGGGGCCAGAGATGATGCCAGCCCCCCAGAGCTCCCGGCAGTTTGTGCAAGGCAGCCAGGCGAAACCGAGCTCCCTGACGCAAATGGATGATTCTGCCTTGAAAGCTCAGGGGGCTGATGATCAGCCAGCACTTGAGGTGTTAAATTATTCTTCCCCAGGCAACCCTGTTAGGGGTAATGAGTCCTGCCATACTTCTCAGGCAAACCTTCTGCAAAGAGGGGAAAAAGACAGGGGAGCAGAAAAAACTGGTTCTGCTGCGTGTCAGTCAGCCTCGCCAGCAAGGCACGCCGAAGCTGACCTGGGGAGAGACCCACAGACCGGTTTGGAGGCCAAAAGCGGGGCTGCAGACACCATGCAGTTGCATCCCACAGATAAAACTGAAGTGGTGCAGAGCAGCGAGGCACTCGCCCAGTCTAGCCACGAGAGTCCACATCCCGTATGCAACGTGGGCACCGAGCTGGGCAGTCCAGACCCCACCCAGCTCTCCAGATTCAGAGACACGGGTACAATGACGGTTCAGTCGGAGAGCAGCAATTTAACTCAGGAAGTAGTAAGCAGGACATGGCAAGATGCTGAGGTTCAGGCCGTGGCTACCGTGGAGAGCAAATCGGCCTCCACCAGTCCCAGCATCCTTGTTGCCTTCTTAAAAGGGAATCTTCCTCAAGAGGAGAAGGAAGAACTGCACATCATTTATCAAGGAGGTATGGGGCTGAGCCAGTCTGCACTTACTGACAGTTTATCCTCACGACAAAAGTCCCCATGTTCTCCTGGTAAGACATCAAAGTCGACTGTTGTTACGGCTGTAACTGCTTCAGCCCAAACCCAGGCTGTCAAACTGCCTGGAGCCCCATCTGATGTGGTGTCTCCAGCCTCAGCAGATAATGCAAAACCTGCTCTCCCCTTTTCCCCTGCAGCCGTTGCCTCCCAAGGGACATCTGTGGGTAATGCTGAAATGATCGGTGCAGCTTGTGACGGCCAGGATGCTGCTCGGCTGCCGATGGATGCTCCAGTCCCACCCATCCCTGTTGAGCAGCTTGCAGTTGACTCCACTAATCAAGCTCCTGCACGGTCTGGGTCTGGTGCTGGTGAACCAAGCACCACTTCTGCTGCCGCTGTCCCAGGAACCAAGAACAACGTGCGAGATCTTGTCCATGATGCAGGAAGCAGCCAGTTACCTTTACTCTGTAGCACAGATGGTGAAGTCAAGCAGAAGGAGGTCCTGGGCAGCTCTGAGCAACAGCCTGTGCAATGTAAGGGTGCGAGTCAAGGGGAGGCCATTCTTCATCAATCTGTGGTAAAACCAAAGGAAGAAAACTCGGTAGTGGTTGATCCTAAAGGAGGGATGAATGTTAGCAGCCAACCTGCTGCTGTCTGCATAAAGGTGCGCTCGGAGGATGCAGGCAAAAAGGAAGAGAGCAAAGGCCAGGGAGCCACTGGCCAAGCTCAGACGGCTGGTGGCCAGACCCTGCAGGCAGGACTGATGCCCGAGTTGAGTGCGAGCTCTGCGCGTCTCACCCCTCCCTCGGAGGCATCAGCAGCTCCTCAGCAGCAAGGCCGCCAGGCTGAGGAGGCCAGAGGTGACCTTCACACAGCAGCTCTTCCTGCTTCAGCTCAGGCCTTGCCAAACCTGGGGGAAAACAAAAAGCAGCCCACCCCGGCCATGGAGGCGAAAGTGCAGGTGAAGCAGTCCAAGCACGTCAGGGATGTTGTCTGGGACGAGCAAGGCATGACGTGGGAGGTTTACGGTGCTTCCCTCGATCCAGAATCCCTGGGAATTGCCATCCAGAACCACTTACAGAGACAAATACGGGAACACGAGAAACTGATCCGGACCCAGAACAGTCAGACCCGGAAATCCATTTCCTCGGATACATCCTCAAATAAAAAACTGAAAGGGAGGCAGCACAATGTGTTCCAGTCCATGCTGCAGAATTTTAGGCGTCCTAATTGCTGCGTCCGACCCGCTCCCTCTTCTGTGTTAGACTGACGTGGTTTGCAGGGGTGCGTAGATGTCTGCGGTGGTAGAGAGAATCCCTCCCCTCAAGTCTCGAGTCCTGCTGTTCAGTTGTGTTATTGCGGTTGTGATGCAGCAACAGTGGAAAATTATTCCCCTTTGTTTTCTGAGTAGCCACACGCTCCATCACGCCGTTATTATTGCCACAGCTGGTGTATTTCCACATCATGCCCCCGTCCCGACTACTGTCAGATGAAAAGCTAGGCACTTAGCAAAAGCACAAATTTAAATTGCCACCTTGCTGCAGGGAGAGCAGCACCTTCTGATAAAGCAAGAAGTAGAGAGATTGTCAAAATTATTATGGGAATTTGTGTGCATCACGAGGTCTTATACAAAGGGGTGGGCTGGGGGAAGCCGGGTGAGGTGAAACTAAGGTCCAACAGCTGTAAAGACCTAATGCAAGACAACTTTCCTGGTGTGTAAGTTACCCATGCTGAGGCAAGTCTGTGAAAAGGCTACGGACATGGATCGCTGAGCAGTCTCACTTCTGTGGATGCTGTGGGGCACCGTTCCCATGCGAGCCCCAGAGAGCCAGGTCTTCCCCTCCCATGGAAACGGAGAAGCAGGCAGAGTGAGGATCAAGGCTGAAGGATCATCTCTTTGGGAGAAGTTAAGTCAATGGGATTTTGATGGCTAGAAGGGGAGGTGAGAGAGGGATACATTCTGCAGGCTTTTTCTCCCCTGCATCAGCTGTGCTTAAGGTGTAAGCAGGCGGCGCACACAGAGCAGGCGAGGCACGAGACAGCACGTCGGTCGATGTACCCGCGTCCAGCAGGACGGTGCCCTTGCTCGTGCTGTGCCGCTCCAGACGAGTCCTTAAAAAGCAGCCAGCTGTTATGGCTCCTCAGCCAGGGTGGGCAGCACCTGCTCCCAGCCTCCTGCGGCGCTGAGCACCTCTCCTCTAAATCACTCTTTAAAGTGATGTGGATCTTTTTTCTCTCTCCAGAGATGCACAGTAGCATTTTCCCGTAGGAGTGGGCTATCCTGTGCATCTGGGTCCATAAGCCTACGTGTTCTAGTGTGTACGCTGATTTTTTTCCATTTAAGTCCTTAGCCTTTTTTTTTTTTCCCCCCCCCAGTATTTTGGTGCTTTTCTTGCTGCCTTTCATAAACTGAATACCATTTATTTAGCCTGTGCATATTTTGTTTTACCTAATGCTCTCTACATTATAAACCATTATATTGTTCACTTGAAACGTTTACATTACAGAATTACTGAAATCTTGAGACAATCTTTGCTGTATTTCTAATGTTAGAAAAGTTGCAGAAATTGCTAATAAAAGGTAGCTTAGTGACTGTTTCTCCAGAAGTGTGATATACAATAATGCCTCAACTGTATGTTGGTCACATTTCTCACCTTAATAATATTTTTCAACCTGGGAAATGTGTTTCCCACTAGCTTTTTATTCTGTCCACTAGAGTTCATGATGGGAGGCTGGGGAACTCCTGCAGTTTGTAGAAAATCTAGTTTTCAATCCTGCAAAGCACTGAGGATTTGGATATTGTAATCCTGCAGAGTACTAGAGTTAAATAGGGGTTATTTTTACTCCGTTAAAGATTTTTCATGAATCATGATGATAATTTATTTGTCTCTAGTACCATACGCCAGACTTACTCCATAGATCTTACTGTTACAACTTACTCTGCAAGTCTTACAGGTTTACACAGTGTAAATGAATATTAATATCCTTTTTTTACTTTTTTTTTTTTTTTTTTTTAAATTTCTGTGAAGCAGAAGTGGTCCCCTTTTATTTAGGAGGCCAGACTTTTTGGGTATGTCAACTACCAAGCCTTCAAAGCAGCTGTTTTGGGGCAACTTTTTCCCCAGCAGAGAGGTAAAATACTGTAAGATACAATATTTTAACCCAGTTCAATGAAAGGTGTTGCCCCTAGGCGTAGTACTGAATTGACTCCTAGTTTTCCTCTGGTATATATTTGGGGGCTTTATGGCACGTCCTTGTTCCATTTTTGTACATTGTTTCAAGTCCTCTCCCACTTGATGCTGAATTGCTGATTCTGAAATACCACATTAGAGAGTGTCTTCCCTCCTCTGCCTACCAGGAGGAAAGTCTCCTACCTTTTTTCTGTTAGTACTACTCTTCCCATCCCCTTCCTAACAGTGTCAGAGATGTGAGTTTCATGTGAAATTTTGTGTGGGATTGATATTGGCAGTATCATTAGGCCAGGTTAGTTGACAAGTTCAGTGTCTCTTCCCATGTTGTGTCCGCGTCAGCCCTGAAGAAGTTCCCCGAGTTGTCCGCGGTGTTTACTGTGTCCTGTCCAAGTCCAAGGCTTTGCGCTGCACCTTTTGCCTCCCTGCTGCCCCCTCCCTCGCTAGCTGCTGCCCAGCCTGTCTTCCTGCGAAACGGTGTCCCTTGGCTCAGCTCGTGTCCCTCTCTCCACTGTCCCCCTCGCTGTAGCATTGTGAGCCAGCTTACTCTCAACGGTCCCTTTACAAATATGCTCAGTCTGAATATATAAATGGATTGTCATATTTTTTCCCAGAGGAGAATAAATGGCTATCGCGCATTCACCAATTTCCATGAACTTTATCCTTTAGCTTAAGCTCTCCAAAATATTTCTAGCACATGGGTATGAGTTGCTTTATTGAGACAAAACTGGGCTTGGCATTGAATAAGCAGGGTGCTGGGCCAGCACTGGAATTAACTCTTCTTCATGAGGAATGGGAGATCTCTCCTGGTTCCCTGCAGCTGCTTCCAGCTGTGAGTCTTCACCAGCTGGTCCACCCACACCTCCCACCCCGACCAAATGTTCTTCCAAGAAAATTTCACCAATACGTACGTACCACAAAACGCCGACGGCAGGTTATTAAGTGGATGCATCTGAATTACTGCATGGAAAAAAAGTAGTGGTCAGCACAGCACTGTGCTTTTGTATTCTGGGAAAATATGAGCGTAAAGACAAACTGCAAAATGTCAGTGACGCTGCCTGGTGGACACAGAAGTCCTGCAGGCACATGTTTGGAATCAAGCAATAATGTGCCAAAAACCAACACACAAAAATGAGTTGATAATCACCAGCGTATTACATGGGAAATATTTTTGGTTTTCACTTTGCCTTGCTAGGGCAGACTGTAGGCAAGCGGATAGTTTAACACTGGTAATTTATGCTTTCTCCTGTGTACAATGTCTAGGTGACGATGTGAATCCTCATAAGGATGATGCATCTTTCACCAGCAGCAAAACAAAACCATGTTTTGGGTAGCAATTAGCAAATATTATGCATGCAAGTGGTCTTGTAGCAGTCAAGAAAGACTGTTCTTGGTGTTACGTCAGGTTAAAAATGAAAGTGTGCTTGGAGTAGCAGTATGGCAGACAGTAGGGGGAGATGATCCGTGTGCCACCACCTTGCTCTTTTTCTCTGCCCAATGACTCAGAATCACATTGCATTGGTTGAATGGTTAACAACCAAGGAAATCCATTTGGCCTGCTAAAAAAAGGGTTCAAAACAGAAAGTACTTTTCATTGCCAAGAGTAA